AAAAACACATCAACAAAACCACATTATTGATAACAAGTATACAGTAGCTTTAAGATTTAAAAATTGTCAAAAGTTTTGATGTTTAATTAAAACTAAATCCGCTTTTAAACTATTCAATGTTATTATTTTTTGACATCTAATGAATCAGATATGAAATTTATATAACGGATAAACTGCAGTCACTTTTATCTGTAAACAACAATTTTTTTAGAGTTTAAGCAGTGTTAGCACTGAAAAAAAAAAACTGGTAATTTCCTCTTACTTAATCTGCAGCTTGACCAAAAAAAAAAAGAAGATGATTTTTTTTTTTGAGATTTTAACTAAGTGTATTTTAGGTCGAAATGCCCAAATCGAGCAACTATCAAAAATTTATTTGGCCCAACATCAGCAACTGTTATATCCATGTCAACCGTTACGTTATATCTCCTGTATGGTACTGTTAGAGACAATGCCACAGTTTGAGCCAATTCTTTTAGACCTGTATTTTAAGCGTACCATTGGTGAAACACCAATACAAACATTAATTGCAGATTTAGTTACCAAAAAAGATAGTCAAGTTTGAAGACAAGAAAAAAAAAAGAAAGAAGATAGAATGAAACGAGGAAATATCAACTTTTTTTCTTGTGTTTGTTTATTTGTTTATTTGTTTGTTTGATTGTTCGGCTAACTGTTTATTTTGTTTGTTTTGTTCTTTATCTGAATTCATTCTGATCTCCTATTATTGATAACTGATAAGAAGAAAGAGAAAATAAACTGGAAAAAAAAGAAGGATGAAAATGTAAGAGTAAAGATTTTTTCTACTTTATGTATATAAATACATATGTATAATATACCACCTAAGCTCCTCTTTTCTTCCTCTTCTTCTTTTTCTTATTCTTCTCCTTATTCTTCTTCTTCTTGTTTTTTTTTCTTCTTTTTCTTCTTCTTCTGCTTTGCTGTTCAGCTTTTTCAACTTTCTTTGGCTTATTTGTACACCGTTGTTGTATTGCTGCTGCTGTTAATTACTGGTATCCATAATGTACCGACAGATGACTTAAAAAGCCGGTGCCATTACAGTAAATTTTAGCAAAATTTTTTTATTCATTTCGATAGACTAAGTGTCAATTTTTTTTTAGTTACTGTTGTTGTACAGACAACAAATTACTATCTTTCGTCAAAACATCAAAACATTGACATCAAAAAAAAAAAAAAAAAAAGGTTAGAGAAGAAACAAGGTCATAAGTTTGAGAAACTTTTAATCCTTGCTGATGCAAAATCATTGCCACTTTTTTCACCCTTATTTTTTTTTTTGCTGTATTAATTGATTAATAAAAAAAGAAACAATTAAAGAGGTATATTGAATACCTGTAATTGGCAATTTTTTGTACCCAAATTTTAAGCAGTTATATTGAAACTAAAACTTTGGAACACAAATTTTTGCTCTATTTATCAGTATAGTTTGCTGTATTCAAGTCAAGTTTTATTTTTAAGATTTCCAATCAGAAAAAAAAACTAATACTAAAATATACTGATATGATATCTGTGCATTAAGATGATGTTCAGTTTTGGCTTCACTTTTAATTACAGCAATTAACAATGTTAAAGAGCAGTAATTAATTAGATGAAAAAGGGAAAGTTGAATCAACTATCAAAAGGCAAAAGGAAAAAAGTCATCAATACTGCTGTAGTTTAGAAGAATTTGTTCAACAACAACAACAACAACAGCAGTTGTACTCAACTTTATTACTGTGTGGTTTTTTCTTTTTTTTTTTTTTGTCATTATTCTATAGAAATTGTTGACACTTTTATTTTTGAAAATATTTTGTTGATAGGGGATTAAAGAGGAATTAAAAGATTAATGAATGGATGTGGCGAAGTGGATGTGCTGCACTAACTAAATGAAACATTACAATTTACTAGTTAAAAATGCAAAAAAAAGCAAAAAAGAAAAAGCAAAAAAAAAAAGCAAAAAAATTTTTATTTTTAAATTGTTTTTTAATTTTAAAGTTTCTTTTCTTTTTTTTTTTTTGTCTTATGACATTTGTGATATGCATTGTATGTTGATTCTGTTTTAGATCTTCTTCATTTTCTTTTGCACTTATCTGTTACATATATATATATATATATTAAATCAGTTTTTATAAAATATGTAGTGAAAAGTGTTATACGCTTCTTTACTGTCTAATTTTTTTTTTGTGCTTTTTATTGAACATATTTTATAGTTAAATAATTTGTTTGTTTGTTTGTTTTTTTCTTTTATTTTTTTTTTTAATAAAAAAAATTTAGAAAAATATTATGTTAAAATGATATATATATATGATCAGCGCAGATCAACTTTCATCAAATTTTAAACCTCGGCATTAAGAACAGTGAAATGTTGTTCACAAATTTCAAATCGTTTACCTAAAATCACTTTTAGAATCACTTTTTTTTTTTACAGTTTTATTAAAGGAATGAGATGCTGTCGTGCAGAATGTATCTGAACACTGTTCAGTCACTAACAAAATGTACAGTGTACCAATGGTACAGTCTTTTTTCTTTGATTGTTCATAAAGTACTAAAGTTTACAAGTCATACAAAATTTTGAGCAGTGATTGACAAAAATACTAACCAGCAAAACTTTTTATAATAACAATAATACTAATTAAGTAACCTCCTCATTCCTCAGTGATGATAAAATATTGAAACAAAAAAACAAAATTTGGTGCTATATGTCAGAAAGAGGCGCTATACATAAGTGATATACCGGTAATAACAGTTCTAATTCTTTGTTTTAAGGTTATCTATGAGATTCAGTAACTTATCGAACAATGC